CTCCCTAAGTGCATTGTATATGTTTTGCTTATTTTCAGTGAAGACTCATATAAAAATTTTGCCAGAGATGAAAAGATAGGGGAAAAAAGCCACTTTAACTTATTCTGCATGGCTACTATAACCTTGATATAAGTTGAGGGTTTGTTAGCAGTCAAGTGTAAGTAAGGTAATAGAATTTCTAAGACTATAGATGCACTGTATAATACTATATAGCAACCATACTTCAGATCTTAAAAAGTTGCCAAAATTTTAAATAAAATACTAGCAAATTGAACATGGAAATATATTTTTTAATTACTACTAAATTTATTTATTGAATATAAAGATCTATTTTGAAAGTATCCTGGCATTCATGGATTATAAAAAGAAAAACAACATGATTTTTTTCCACTGATGTACATTTAAGTTGCTTCCAATTTTTTATTGTTTTAAGTATTGCTATCAGTTTAAAATCTCTATTCATATCCTGAGCCAATTGAACAAAATTAAATTTTATCAATTAGACCAAGAAAAGACATTATTTATAAAGGACAACTCTCCCGTACAAAGGCCGCCAGTAGTTACATTGTTTGAAATGCCTAATCGACATATTCTACCCTAAAACTTTGCTTTCCTAAAAATATGATCAAACTCCTAAATTACCAAATGGTGTTCAATGAAAAGAAAAATCTCTGAAAAAATATTAAATATGTACTTTAGGTGTATAATAATTTCCATCTTGTTCTAGTTGATAAGATTCCCTGAGTATATTGTTTCTGACTTAAAGTGACAAGATTTCTACTGGAGCTTAAGTCAGTCAGTCAATCAGTGGATTGTAAATGCTGTCCCTTCATCCATAAGATATCTGAAGTAGCTAATAATTTTCAGTATTAAGACAATACCAAAACAGCTATGTAACCCTAATCAAATATCTAACAACCTTTGCAACAACTGACAGATACCAACACTTCTGTACTCAAAAAGAATTCAGTGAGAAATAGAACTAGATAATATATGGTACCTTTGATAACTCATTGTGGTTGTTCAGTCACTCGGTACCTTTGATAACTCATTGTGGTTGCTCAGTCACTCAGTCATACCGACTCTGTGACCCCATGGACTGCAGCACACCAGCCTTCCCTGTCCTTCACCATCTCCCAGAGATTGCTCAAACTCATGTCTGTTGAGTCAGTGATTCCCCTCCAACCATCTCATCCTCTGTCATCCCTTCTCCTCCTGCCTTCAATCTTTCCCAGCATCAGGGTCTTTTCTAGTGAGTCGACTCTTCACATCAGGTGGCCAAAATATTGGAACTTCAGCTTCAGAATCAGTCCTTCCAGTGAACACCCAGGACTGATCTCCTTTAGGAAGGACTTGTTGGATCTCCTTGCAGCCCAAGGGACTCTTAATAGTCTTCTCCAACACCACAGTTCAAAAGCATCAATTCTTTAGCGATCAGCCTTCTTTATGGTCCAACTGTAACATCTGTACATGACCACAGGAAAAAATAGCTTTGACCATACAGACCTTCGTTGGCAATCAATGTCTGCTTTTTAATATGCTGTATAGGTTTATCATTGCTTTTCTTTCAGGGAGCAAGCACCTTAAATTTCATGGCTGCAGTGACCATCTGCAGTGATTATGGAGTCCAAGAAAATAAAGTCTGTCACTGTTTCCATTATTTCCCGATCTATTTGCCATGAGGTGATGGGACTGGATGCCATGATATTTGTTTTTTCAATGTTGAGTTTTAAGCCAGCTTTTTCACTCTCCTCTTTCACCTTCATCAAGAGGCTCCTTAGTTCCTCTTCACTTTCTTCCATAATGGGGGTGTCACCTGCATGTGTGAGGTTACTGATATTTCTCCCAGCAGTCTTGATTCCAGCTTGTGCTTCATCCAGCCTGGCATTTCCCATGATGTACTCTGCATATAAATTAAATAAGCAGGGTGATGATGTACAGCCTTGACGTACTCCTTTCACTATTGGTACCAGTCTGTTGTTCTATGTCCTTTTACTTCTTGACCTGCATACAGGTTTCTCAAGAGGCAGGTCAGGTGGTCTGGTATTCCCATTTCTTTCAGAATTTTCCACAGTTTGTTGTGATCCACATGGTCAAAGACTTCAGCATAGTCAGTGAAGCAGATGTTTTTCTGAAATTCTCTTGCTTTTTCTAAGATGCAATGGATGTTGGCAATTTGATCTCTGGTTCCTCTGCCTTTTCTAAATCCATCCTGAACATCTGGAAGTTCTCAGTTCACATACTATTGAAGCCTGACTTTGAGAATTTTGAGCATTACTTTGCTAGCATGTGAAATGAGTGCAATTGTGTGGTAGTATGAACATTTTTGGGCATTGCCCTTCTTGGGGACTGGAATGAAAACTGATCTTTTCCAGTTCTGTGGCCACTGCTGAGTGTTCTATATTTGCTGGCATATTGAGTGCAGCACTTTCACAGCATCATCTTTTAGGATTTGAAATAGCTCAACTGGAATCCCATCACCTCCACTAGCTTTGTTCATAGTGATGCTTCCTAAGGCCCACTTGGCTTCACACTCCAAGATGTCTAGCTCTAGGTGAATGATCATACCATTGTGGTTATCTGAGTCATTAAGACCTTTTGCATATGCTTCTTCTGTGGATTCTTGCCATCTCTTCCTAGTATCTTCTGCTTCTGTTAGGTCTGTACCATGTCTGTCCTTTATTGTGCCCATCTTTGCATGGTATGTTCCCTTGGTATCATAATTTTCTTGAAAAGATCTCTAGTCTTTCCCATTCTGTTGTTTTCCTCTGTTTCTTTGCACTGATTACTTAGGAAGGCTTTCTTATCTCTCCTTCCTATTCTTTGGAACTCTCCATTCAAATGGGTTTATCTTTCTTTTCTCCTTTGCCTTGTACTTCTCTTCTTTTCTCAGCTATTTGTAAGGCCTCCTCAGACAGCCATTTTGCATTTTTGCATTTCTTTTTCTTGGGGATGGTTTTGATCACTGCCTCACAGTTTTTTATCACACTGTATACAATGTCACTGGCTTCCATCCATAGTTCTTTAAAGCACTCTACCAGATTTAATCCCTTGAATCTATTTGTCACTTCCACTGTATAATCGTAAGGGATTTGATTTAGGTCATACCTGAATGGCCTGGTGGTTTTCTCTACTTCCTTCAATTTAAGCCTGATTTGGCAATAAGGAGTTCATGATCTGAGCCACAGACAGCTCCCGGTCTTGTTTTTGCTGACTGTATAGAGCTTCTCCATCTTCAACTGCAAAGACTATAATCAGTCTGATTTTGGTATTGACCATCTGGTGATATCCATGTGTATGGTCGTCTCTTGTGTTGGAAGAAGGTGTCTGCTATGACCAGTGTTTTCTCTTGGTAAAACTGTTAGCCTTTGCCCTGCTTCATTTTGTATTCCTAGGCCAAACTTGCCTGTTACTTCAGGTATCTCTTGACTTCCTACTTTTGCATTCCAGTCCCCTATGATGAAGAAAGGACATCTTTTTTGGTGTTAGTTCTAGAAAGCCTTGTTGGGTCTTCACAGAACCATTCAACTTCAGCTTCTTTGGCATTAGTGGTTGGAGCATAGACTTGGATTATTGTGATGTTGAATGGTTTGCCTTGGAAACGAATAGAGACCATTCTGTCATTTTTGCACCCAAGTACTGCATTTTGGACTCTTTTGATGACTATGAAGGCTACTCCATTTCTTCTAAGAGATTCTTGCCCACAGTAGTAGATATAATTATCTGAATTAAATTTGCCCATTCCAGTCCATTTTAGTTCACTATTGCTAAGATGTTGATGTTCACTCTTGCCATCTCCTGTTGACCACTTTCAATTTATCTTCATTCATGGTCATAACATCCCAGGTTCCTATGCAATACTGTTCTTTACAGCATTGGCTTTACTTTCACCACCAGACACATGCACAGCTGGGTGTTGTTTCTGCCTTGTCTCAGTCAGCCTCTTCATACCTTCTGGAGCTATTTCTCCACTCTTCTCCAGTGGCATATTGGGCACCTACTCATCTAGGGAGTTTGCCCCTCAAAAACAATATCATGTTATATATTATAAGCACAAAAGGTAGATGTAATATTTTTGGTAAATAAATGTAGGATTCCTTTGTGAGAAAAAATAAGTATTGCTGTCATCACCAGTCTGTTTTAATTTTATTTTTAATTGGAGGATTATTTGATTTTTGGCTTGATTACTCTCTTTTCTTTTGACTCTTCCTTTTCTACATCACCAATCTTGGACATAAGATTGATCACATCATTTCCTTAGGAAGAGTTTCCAAAAGTATATATATGCTAATTTTAAATTCTGATATATTAATTAAATATGCAATCATCAAACTTTTTCTATAAAGCACCAGATAGCAAATAGTACAGACTTAACGGGTCATGAAGCAAAATTGAGGTTATTTTATAGGTACTTGAGAAAACAAATTTCCATAGATCTTTGTTGATAAAATTTTAAATGTAATAATTATGATACAAAGCAAATTTACATAAATATTTTTTATAAAGTTAAAAATCTAATAATTGAGTACAGTTTTCATAATGAAGTTCTATAGATGTAAATAAGGGAGTTCTTTTGGAGGAATAAGAGTTGAAAGGTGCTATTCCTTATCAACAAAATCCATTGTAAATATCCATCTGTGGATACTGATCTATGGTAAAATTTATTTTCAGTTTGAAAATTTCTTTCCTCATAGACAACTACTTCTAAATATTGATATATATGACATGAATGGATGGTTAATTGCACATATTCACTGATCAGAAGGCATTTTTAGAACGCTATTAGCTAAAGAATAGACTGCCTTTTAATATATTAGTACATTGTAAATTAATTACTTCCCTTAATTGCACCATTAGATGGAGTTTTAGCTGTGGACATTTCCTTGGCACTTGTATCAATGCTGAAAAATGCCATGGACTGAAATATATTGCTCAGACTTTGTATAAGAATGGAGATCTCACATTTAATTTTTGACAGTTTTGACTTTTAATTTTTACAGGAAGTGTGTAACACAGCCTGGTATTACTTGCAAGTAAAAACAATGTTAGTTCTCACTGAGAAACTTTATCACAATGTAAGTTTCACAATAAGTATTATTTGGTTTGTTTTAAATTGAAACATTTCCTAGTCTGCAACATGAGCTAATTCCAGAGCCATTGATTTGAGAGGTTGATTACAGTTCTTCCAACCATTTAAAAATGTAAACACTGTTCTTTTTAAAAAATGAAGTATAGTTGCTGTACATTATCATATATACAGTATATAGTATATATACTTTGTATATACTATCTATAATATAGTGATTCACAATTTTTACAGGTTAACTCCATTTATATTTATTATAAAATATTTGTTATATTGACTGTATTATATAATATATCCTTGTAGCCTAATTTATACCTAATAATTTACACTTCTTAATCCCTTATGCCTATCATGACCTTCTTTCCTCTCCATTGGTAACCAGTTTGCTCTTTGTGAGGCTACTTTTTTGTTACATTTGCTAATTGTATTTCTTATATTCCACATATAAGTAATATCATCTAATATTTGTCTTTCTCTGACTTATTTCACTTAGTATAACAACAAAACAAAACTACTGAATGGGAAAAATTATTTGCAAATAATATGACCAATAAGGTGTTAGTATCCAAAATATATAAACAGTCCACACAACTGAACATCAAAAAAGAAACAACCTGATTATAAAATGGGCAGAGGATCTGAACAGTTTTCCAAAATTTAAGAAAATGCAGACAGCCATGAAAAGATGTACAATCATCAGGGAAATGCAAATCAGAACCACAATGAGATATCACCTCATACCTGTCAGAAGGGCCATCAACAAAAAACACAAATGACAAATGCTGGCAAGGATGTAGAAAAAACGGAGTCTTCATATACTGTTAGTGGGAATGTAAATTGGGGAAAACAGCACAGAGGTTTCTCAAAATAACTAAAAATAGAACTACCATTGTTGCTGTTCAGTCACTAAGTTGTGTCCAACTCGTCGCAATCCCATGAACTGCAGCATGCCAAGGTTCCCTTGTCTTTCATCGTATCCCAGAGTTTGCTCAAACTCACGTCCATCAAGTCAGTGATGTCATCCAACCATTTCATTCTGCCTTCAGTGTTTCCCAGCGTCAAGATTTCCCAGTGAGTCAGCTCTTCCCATCAGGTGGCCAAAGTATTGAAGCTTCAGCTTCAGCATCAGTCCTTCCAATGAATATTCAGGGTTGATTTCCTGTAGGACTGACTGGTTTGATCTTGCTGTCCAAGGGACTCTCAAGAGTCTTCTTCAACACCACAGTTCAAAAGCATCATTTCTTCAGTGCTCAGCCTTCTTTATGGTCCAGTTCTCACATCATACTCGACTATTGGAAAAGCCATAGATTTGACTAGATGGACCTTGTCAGCAAAGTGATGTCTCTGCTTTTTAATATGCTGTCTAAATTTATCATAGCTTTATGACCCAGCAATTCCATGCCTGAGTATGTATCTGAGAGAAACAAAAGCACTTATTTGAAAAGATACATTCACCCCAGTGTTAACAGCAACACTATTTACAATTGCCAAGATACAAATGTAGCCTAAGTGCCCATCAACTGATGAGTGGATAAAGAAGACTACACACACACACACACACACACACACACACACACACACACACACACACACAAAGGGAATACTTCTCAGCCCTAATTAAGAATGAGATTTTAGCTGTTTACAGCAACATTAATGGACCTGGAAGGCATTATGCTAGGTAAATAGCATTGAAAACTCAAGGACTGTATAAAAGGCAGGCTGTATTTGGCTAATAAGCCATAGCTTACCAACCCCTGCTGTATAAAGTATATTCCCAGTAAATGTAAATACCTGTTTTCCCCAAAACTTTGCAAGCAATAAGTAACAACTTTAAAAAACGTGTGCAGTTTGAAATTACATTTTTCAACTTTGAATATTGGGAAAGTAAAATATTTTTTCATGATTATGAAAGTGAAAGTCACTCAGTTGTGTCCAACTCTTTGTGACCCCATGGACTATGGTCTGGAATTCTCCAGGCCAGAATACTGGAGTGAGTAGCCTTTCCCTTCTCCATGGGATCTTCCCAACCCAGGGATCAAGCCCAGGTCTCCTGCATTGCAGGCGGATTCTTTACCAGCTGAGCCACAGGGAAGCCCAAGAATACTGGAGTGGGCAGCCTATCCCTTCTTCAGTGAATTTTTCCTACCCAGGAATTGAAGGGAATTCCTGGGGTCTCCTGCATTGCAGGTGGATTCTTTACCAACTCAGGTACCAGGAAAGCCCTGATAGCTCATGATTATAGGCCATTTATATTTTATCACTAAAAATTTATTCATGTTCTGTTAACCATTTTATTGCAATAAAATTCTCATTCCAACAATCATTTTTTATACCAAAGATTTCTAAGTCTTTTTTAGTAGCTCTGTCTACTTATTTAGAATTATTTTCCACTGCATTCTCTCACACATCAAACATTCCTTCCATATTGAAAGACCTGTTATTGCCTGATAGAACTGTGGTTTTTCAGTCTTCTCTACATACATGTGTCAGATACCATTCATTTTCTGTTGGCTTACCTCCATTTTCCTTTCTAGTATAACTCTTATTTATCCTTCAAAACACAGATCAAGGATCAGTTCCTCCTCTTTGGTTCCATACCATTCTTAACTCTGCCATAAAACCTATCACACTGAGTTATTAACTGTTGTTTACAGTGGTCTTTCTCCCTACTGGACTCAAAGCTTGTTGAGAAATGGTATTGTAATTGACCTCTCTTTTCACAACAGTGCCTGGCACTTAATAGGCACTGATTATCTGTTGATTGAATGAATTCAAGATAATAGTAGTAGTAATAATATTAACAAAGTAATATGTGCCAAGTGCATAAATATCAGAAACAATTTGTGTAGTAATATTCCTTGTAAACTGCTTATCATAATGAACAATTGAATTTTGAAGAAGCTATCTGAGATAGTAAAATTTCATTAGAGAAAACAGCAACTAAGATTTTTATTCCCTGATAAAACTGAGTATATTGAACATTTAACAGCTTGTCTTTTTCCCTAAAGACTCAAAATAATTTATTTAAGTAACTGCCACTAGTTACAGCCAGGATTTGCAATTTAAGAAAATTTGCTTGTACTAGAAAACTCAGAAAATTAAAATATAAAAAAGAATGTTCAGCAGCCATGTCTGTTTTGTAATCTGAACCATAAGTTCTTTTTTTCAAAATCTCCTTTGTAACTTGACTAAGATTCATTTTGGATTAATCTTTTATTTGCTGTATTTCCAAAGGACATCCATTACCTTGCACTAGATAAGGGAGAACTAGCACTAGCTGAAGTGGCAAGAAGGAGAGCTAGTGATATTGATGCAGAATCAATAACCTCTGGAGTTGGTAAGATTTAATGCTGTTTTTTTTAAGTGCTTTTTGTTTTCATCAATGCTTATTTGGTATCACTTCTGTTTGCATTTGTAGGGCATGGTTGGTTAATTTGAATTACTTTTTCTGTGAATACAGAGTCTAAAAAAAGAATTAAGCTTAGGTAAATAGTACAATATGGATATTTAAGTTGAAATTGTGTTCATCTATAGGTGATTCTTAAGGTAACTGAAAAGAAATTTCACTGGCTGCACACAGCAAAGGATATAGACTTTGCAGATTCAGTTTAAAAAAGTTACCAAACAAACAACAAATAGCAACAACAAACCTTAGAGAAAAGTGATTTCCAGAGTTTCCATGTTATATTTAAGTATATTAAGTTATATATTTGTTGAATATTTATAATGTTTAAATATTAAATGTCTAGTTTTTAAACAAAATTTTGGGTTTTTTAAATTAAATTTTTATTTTATATTGGATATAGTTGATTAACAATGTTATGTTAGTTTCCTGTGTACAACAAAAGTGATTCAATTATACATATATCCATTCTCTTTCAGATATTTTCCCATATAGATTATTATAAAATATTGAGTTCCCTGAGCTATACAGTAGGTCCTTGTTATTTATATATTTTATATATATAAATGTGTAATATATAAGTGTGTAATGTTAACCCCACATGCACGAAATTTCTGTTTATAAACTTTGTATCCTGAAACTTACCCACTTATAACCTCTAGTAGTTTTCTGGCAACACATTTAGGATTTTCAGTGTATAGTATCATGTCATCTGCAAAGAATGGCAGTCTTACTTCTTTACCAATTTGAATTACTTTCCTTTTTTTTTTCTGATTGCATGGTTAGGATGTACAAAAGTATGCTGAATAAAAGTAATGAGAATGAACATCTTTCTCTTGATCTTAGATGAAATGCTTTCAGCTTTTCAGTGTTGAGAATTTTGCTGTGAGTTTGTCATATATGGCCTTTATTATTGAGGCAGGTTCCCTCTATGCCCACTTTCCATAGAGTTTTTATCATAAATGGGTGTTGGAGTTTGTCAAAAGCTTTTTTCTGCAGCTATTGAGATGATCATAAGGTTTTTATTCTTCATTTCTTAATGTGGTATATCATACTCATTGATTTGTAGATATTGAAGAATCCTTGTATCCCTGGGATAAACCCCACTTGATCATGCTGTATCATCCTTTTATTGGACTTGGTTTGCTAGTATTTTGTTGATGACTTTTGCATTCATCAGTGATACTTGTCTGAAATTTTCTTTTTTGTGTGGTATCTGTCTGGTTTTGTTATAAGTATAATGGTGGCCTAGAATGAGTTTGGGAGTGTTCTATCTGCAATTTTTTTGATGATTTTCTAAAAGATAGGTGTTAACTCTTTGAATGTTTGATAAATTAATCTGGTCCTGGACTTTTTGTTAGTAGGTTTTTTTTTTTTTTATCACATTTTCAATTTCAGTACTTGTAATTGGTTTGTTCATATTTTCTATTTCTTCCTGGTTCAGTCTTGCAAGGTTAACCATTCTAAGAATATGTCCATTTTTTTCTAGGCTGTCCATTTTGTTGGTATATAATTGCTTAGTCTCTTACAGTCCTTTGCATTTCTGGAATGTCAGTTATACCTTCTTTTTCCTTTCTAATTTTATTGATTTGAGCCATCTCCTTTTTTTTTTCCTTGAGTCTTGCTAGAGGTTTATCAATTTTGTTTATTCTTTCAGAGAACCAGCTTTTAGTTTCATTGATCTTTTCTATTGTTCTGTTCTCTATTGCATTTACTTCTGTTTTGATCTTTATGGTTTCTTTTCTTCTAGTAACTCTGGTTTGATTTGTTCTTTCTCTAGTTGCTTTAGGTATAAGATTAGGTTCTTTATTTTGGATTTTTATTCTTTCCTGATGTAGGATTTTATTTCTCTAAACTTCCCTCTTAGAGGTGCTTTTGCTGTGTCCCATGGGTATATCAATTAAATCCATCTGGTCTGTCATTTAAGGCCTGTGTTTACTTCTTTTCTGCCTAGAAGAGCTGTCCAATGATGCAAGTAGGTGTTAACATCCCCCACTATTGTGTTACTGTTCATTTCCCCTTTAAGGGCCGTTAGCATTTGCCTTATGTGCTGAGGTGCTCCAGGGGCTTCCCTGGTGGCTCAGTGATAAAGAATGCACCTGCCAATGCTGGAGGTGTAGGTTCAATCCCTGGATCAGGAAGATCCCCTGGAGGAAGAAATTGCACTTTTTAGTATTGTTGCCTGGAGAATCCCATGGACAGAAGAGCCTGGAAGAATACAGTCGATCCATAGGGTCTCAAAGAGTCAGACATGACTGAGCTCAGTCCAACTCTTTGTGACTCGATGGACTGTAACCCACCAGGCTCCTCTGTCCGTGGGATTTCCCAGGCAACAATACTGGTAAGGTTGCCATTTCTGCCTCCAGAAAATCTTCCCAATCTAGGGACTGAACCCACGTCTCCTGTATCCCCTGCACTGCAGGCAGATTCTTAACTGGCTGAGTCATCAGGGAAGCCTGATGTTGGGTACATATATATTTACAATTTTTATATTTTCTTCTTGAATTGATCTCTTGATCATTATGTAGTTTTTCCTTATCCCTCATAACAGTCTTTATTTTAAAGCCTATTTTGTCCGATATGAGTATTGGTACCCATGATTTCTTTTAATCCCCACTTTCTACCTGTATGTGTCCCTAGATCTGAAGTAGGTCTCTTGTAGACACATGTATATGATGTTTTTCCTTTTTGGTATCCATTCAGCCAGTCTGTGTCTTTTGGTTGGAGCATTTAATCCATTTACATTTAAGGTAATTGTCATATGTATGTTCTTATTGCCATTTTGTTGTTTGGATTTGTTCTCTCCTCTTGGGATTTGATGACTATCTTTAGTGTTGTGTTTGAACTGCTTTTTCTTTATTGTGTCTGTATCCGTTGTAGAATTTTATCTGTTGTAGAATTTTGGAGTGTGGTTCCCATGAGGTTTTAATATAGCAGTCTATATATATGTATCAAGATTGCTTTAAGTTGCATTTTAATTTCAAATGCATTTCCAATATTTTGCATTTGTACTCTCTCGTGATTGCAGGCTTTGTCATATGTGTCTGTGGATGCTTTTTTATCTTTACTGTATATTTGCTTTTACCTCTGAGCTTTTCCATTTATAATTTTTTTCTTGTTTCTAAGTGTGACCTGTTCTTTTCCACCTAGAGAAATTCCTTTAGCATTTATTGTAAGGCTGGTTTGGTGGTGGTGCTGAATTCTCTTAGCTTTTCCTTGTCTATAAAGCCTTTCATTTCTCCATCAAATCTGAACAAGAACCTTGCTTGATGGGGGAAGGGGTAGATTTCCCCCTTTTATCACTTTATATATATTGTGCCTTTCCCTTCTGGCCTGCAGTTTCTGCTGAAAAATTATCTGATATCTTCAAGGGTATTACTGTGTATGTTATTTGTTGCTTTTATTTCATTGCATTTAATATATTCTGATTGTCTTTTCCTTGTTTAATTAATATGTCCTGGCCTTTGTTTAATTAATATCCTCCTTGGGTTATCCAGCCTGAGACTCTCTACACTTCCTGGACTGGAGTGAGTGTTTCCTTTCCCATGTTAGGGAAGTTTTTGGCTATAACTATCAAATATTTCCACAGGTCCTCTCTCTCTTCTCCTTCTGGAACCCTTATAATGCAAATGTTGGTGCATTTAATATTATCCCATGAGTCTCTGAGACTGTCCTCATTTCTTTTCATTCCTTTTTCTTTACTCTGTTCTGAAGTGATTTCCACCACTCTGTCTTCCAGCTCACTTATTTGTTCTTCTGCCTCATTTATTCTGCTATTGAGTCCCTCTTAATTTTTCATTTCAGTTATTGTTCATTTCTAAGTCTTTCAGCTCTTCATTAAACCTATCTTGTATCTTCTTGGTTTGTGCCTCCATTTTTTTTCCAAATCTTACATCATGTTTACTTTCATTACTCAGTTCTTTTTCAGATAGACTGCCTATTAGTTGTTCTTCTAGGTTTTTATCTTGTCCTTTGCTGGCCATACACTCTCTACCATCTAATTTTATCTGACTTTCTGTGTTTGTCATGTCCTTTCCACAGGGTCATAATTCCTATTGCTTCTGGTGTCTGCTGCTTGGTGGTTGAGGTTGGTCCAGGGGCTTGTGCAGGCTTCCTATTGGGAAGGACAAGTGCCTGCCCTCTGGTGGGTGGAGCTGGATCTCCTCCCTCTGGTGGTCATGTCAAGTGGTGTGTTTATAGGTGGCTGTGAGCTCAGTACAACTTTAGGCAACCCATCTGCTGATGGGTGGGGCTCTGTGCCACCCTGTTGGTGGTTGGCCTGAGGCATCCCAACACTGGAGTGTGCACACTGTTGGCTGCAGCCAGGTTTTGCTGCCAAAATGGCGGCCTTATGACAATCAGTATTCCCTGGGGCCTCTGCCACCAGTGTTCTTGCCCCCACAGTGAGCCACAGCTGATCCGCACTTCCCCAGGATACTCGCTAAAACCTGCAGGTAGGTTTAACCTTGGCTCCTATGGAGTCACTGGTTTGTGCTGGTTCCCAGTGCACATGAAACCTTGGGTGCACCTTTCAAGAGTGAACTCTGTTTCCCCCAGTCCTGCACTCACGCCCCACCGGTCTTCAAGGCCACATGCTCTAGGGGATCCTCCTCACCATGCCAGATCCTCAGGCTGGGGTGCCTAATATGGGGTTCATAACTCTCACTCCCATGGGTGAACCTCTGGAATATAATTGTTTTCCAGTTTATGGATCGTCTACCTGGTAGAAATGGGATTTGACTGAAGTGCTCCTCCTATTTTCTAGTTGTGGCATCTTTGTCTTTGGATGTAAAATATCTTTTTTGGTAGGTTCCAATGTCCTTTGTCAATGGATGTTTACCAGTTGGTTGTGATTTTGGTGTTTTCATGAGGGATGAGCCTAGGACAATGGGGGCAGCAATGATCATCTTACTGCAGGTCTTATAGTGGCAGCA